GAACAAAATTTGTTTAGTGTTGATGAAATATATGCATTTTGTGGACTTCGATCGTCTGAAATAACAGTCCATTTTAGCATTTTGTGGACTTCGATCGTCTGAAATAACAGTCCATTTTAGCATTTTGTGGACTTCGATCGTCTGAAATAACAGTCCATTTTAGCATTTTGTGGACTTCGATCGTCTGAAATAACAGTCCATTTTAGCATTTTGTGGACTTCGATCGTCTGAAATAACAGTCCATTTTAGCAATTTTGTGGACTTCGATCGTCTGAAATAACAGTCCATTTTAGCTACTCAGTTTCTTGTGTAAGAGCTCCTAAAAGTTGAGAATTGTAACCCCGAGCAGATAATGTGACAGCAAAAACTGCACTTCTAATTGCTGTTTTAGTTGTTTCTTTATAAAATAAAGGAATAATACTTATATAACATAAAATTTTAACTTATAATGTACTCGATAATAGCATTAAAATACATTTAGAGTAAAGTGGTTTAATTAAATTCTCAGTAATATGCACAGAATGGGATTTAAAGATGGCATCGTTAACCTTTACTTTAATCTATTTAGCCAACAACAAATCTATAATTATGACTGATAAGTAATTCAATTTTAAGCTTGAACTAAACTTACGTGGGCTGAACAAGAAAGTGGAGGAAACCTGAGGGCCATGTCAAGTAAATAAACAGACAAGGCTACAACTTGCTCAGGAATATCAGGATCATGCCAAGCCTGTAATGAGAATATGATATGTTAAATGTTACCAGACATAATTAGACAAGTTAGAGAACAAAGAGAATGGCGTGTTGTTATCAGGTTAAGTTTTAACTCTTCCAACACTTTTTTACAATAACTGTCTCTATGCTGTAAAAATCAAAATCAGAAGCTACAGTACTAGATATTATCAAAATAGCTTTTTTTTTCTTCTAACTAGAAAGTAATAACACATTAATCCAAATACTTCATAACTTAGTTAAATTCATAGAGAGTTGTAACATTTTGGAAAAGTAGACAACAAAAGTTTGTTTTTTTAAACACTAGAATAAGTTTGTACTGTCTATTAAACATCCTAATTGTGTAAAATAAAACAAATTAAAAACTACCTAGCACGGAGTTAGATTCTGACTAGCAAGCAGATTGGTGCCATACTGTACACTCACAAGTCACACATTATATACAATATTGGAAATAATTATGGAAACAGTGAAAAATGCTGTATGAAAAGTAAATATCATTAATTCCCCCCCCCTCTACTGTATGAAAATGAGATGTTCCAGTGTAGTCTCATGTTGGTAGCTTACACTATGAAGGACTGCCTTCCAACCAATTAGTACCACACCAGCATAATGTTTATAAAAGTCTAGATAATCATACTATTTCCAACAAGTGTGGTCAATGCACAGTAATACCACACAAAAAAAGATAGGGTATGGCTGGTGAAGACAACTCCAAGTGAAAATTTGTATTTCACCAAGAACTGCATCTTACAATATTACTTAAAATTAGCAGTGTTTATAGTTAAAGTGGTCAAGTTTAGAAAGTTCAGACTCCTCAAAAATTATGTTAAGTAACTTGTGGTATGCTCTTTAAGTGATTCACAACAAACCGGTTGATATTTATATTCAATAACTTAGTTATAAGTAAAAGTGTGAATGTCACCACCTGATCAAAATGATATACCTTAACACAAAGCACCCTCAATGGACACGAAGCTACTGAAAAACTAGAGCTTAGAAGAGAGAACAAAACCAAATGTCTGAAATGGGCATCATACTTCAAACAGTGGAATGAATATAAAGATGAAGGTGAGTGTTCTTTATGGACGAATCCAAGTTTTTTGGCAACAATCAATGACAGTCTGTTTGAGTGTAGAAAGGATCACGATAAACATACAACATCTACGGTAAAATAGGGTTGGGGGCTAATACAAGGGTGAGCTGCATCTAAGTCAATTGTACACAAAATTGATGGCACTCTGACTGCTGACAGGTATAAGTAGATTCTTATGCATCATATCATTCCTTCATGAACAAGAACTGTTATACAGGAATTCATCTTCTACAAAGAAAGTGTCAACAAGTATGCAACAAATGTAGTGAAGTGGTTACATGCTGCATGGTGGAAGAAAAAAAGAAAAAGCTCTTACAATCATTACTTGGGGTGTACAAAAGTCCAGATATGAATATTATTAAGGTTTTATTGGCTTTGAATACAGAAGCTGAGAAGATCAAATGATAGCCAAACAAGTTGGCTGAATTGTGAGGATTAATACTGATGTGAAATAACATTTCACAATCATATGTTGATAAACTTATGGTAGCATTAAAACAATTTGTATTATTCTGTTTACAGAAAATGAAAAATACCACTGCATTGTACAACTAATTTGTTCTTCCGCAGTATTTTCTGTATCATACTAACTGTAAATTATTAATTATTCATTGTTTGTGACTCCCATATGCATATCACCAGGTATTCCTTTAATTATTTCCAATAATGTAAGTTTATCTAATGAAGTTTTTTTTTCAAATAAAAATAAACCCAACTTTAATATACAAAGCCTAATAGTCTGCTTTTATAGATCTTCACACTCTACTGAATTTTTATGAAAACTCTCCAGTACATGAAACAGTATGTGGCTTTATAATATAATAGAATTATTTATCAAACTGTCTTACAGTATTCTTCAACATCTGCTAACACCAGCCAATATTCCTTCTCACTCACACACCAATATTTTTTAAAATCACAGTTCTTTGCTGAAGTTTTATTGGTCATTTTCTTCTGTATTACTTTCAATTTTCTCTTAATTTTTATTTTTACTTATAAACATCATCACATTTTCAAAAGTAGGTATGGATTCAGAAAAAGTGTAAAGCTAGAAACCATGTAAAGTCTAGTTATATAATCTGTGACATAGTTACAAGTAAAGGAACTCAGTACTTCAGGAAGATGAAAGTTTTTGTAATTAGCGAAGAAATGTCTTCTTTCGAAAAATGCTTTGGAATTAAGTTATTTCATTTGTTGTTTTTTTACGTTCCACACAATCTTTCAAGGATTACAAAAATAGCTATTTTTAGTAAATTTGATTTTCCTGATTATTACCTTTTAAGTAGTTATAACCTAAATATCAAGCAGGTGCAGATTCAAGGGAGGAAATGGGAGGGTTACATGCTTTAGAATTAAATAATAATATTAAAAATTTTTTGAATTTTAAGAGTTATCCTTTTTTTAAGCTAATATTTTGCTTAATTAATTATTTTAAATTTAAAGACAAGTGTTCTTAAAATGCAGTATTTTTGTGCCACCTATAAATTTACATGTCCATGGTGTAACCTGTGTTATACAATTCGTTGTTTGAGTTGAGGGATTAAACAGAACATGTAAAATACTCCATATAAACAGCCCACTATTCTTCATCGTTGTTTACAAGATTGTGACTTTCATTCCACTGCCAGTATACTGGGAATTACTTCAAGTGAAAAAAACACTTCGAACCTGTTGATATATACTGGTGTCTTGAAATATGAAGTTTGTAACACTTGAAGTTAAAGTCCAGAAACACATCTACTGTAATTATAACATAAAAGTAAAAGACAAAATAAAACTGTTTATACATTAACTTGCTTATTATTTCCAAATACTTGTACAAGTTTTCTCTTACTGTTAGATAAGCTACAATGTTGCCCCCCCACACTAAAATCTTGGATCTGTCACTGCATTAAACCTATGTAATAATATACAAGAACAGAAAACCCTTTCGTTCTTGCTTACTCGATAAAGAACTGTAAAGATGATTGCATGCATCGTTCTGGAATGAAGAAGCTTTCGTGGATCAGGAAACTGGGGACTGACAGCTTTAGGAATTCTATATGGTAGCCAAGGAGGGCTGGAATTTTTATACTTGCCACTTTGTCTTACACTGCAAACACAATTCATTTTTAATCAATTCAAATTTAGGAACTTAAGAATTTATAATATCTAAATACTACATATTTTTGAATAACAAAGTGTTAGAATCCTCCTCAAGTTTATTTTAGTCCATAAACAGTATTGGTTACAATGCAGAGTTCAAATGTTAATGAAAAAGACATACTCTGACATTTGTTTTTTATTAAACACAAAGTTACACAATGGGTTATTTCCCACCACATGTATCAAATCCAGAAATTTACAACCGAGCCTTTGGGGGACACATATTTTGACATATCTTCAGTTGATTAAATAGTTTTATTTAAGCATGCCAGCTGCCTCTTCAAGAGTAGGCTTAGAGTAAGTTTACCTACTAATCGATAAAATATTAACAAAACATAAAATATCTTCAGGTAGTTTCTCCACATCATTAAACATTTAGGTTCCTTTACAGGTTCACATAAATTTTAGTTAAGGCTCAGTTTTATGTACATAAATTATCAAAACACACAACTAAGGTTATACAGTTAAGAGTTAAATAAATTGATACTGATATTAAGTCCATGAGTCTGAATAGGAAGAAATACCTTTTTCGATGCGTAATGTTTATTATGGATTAAAAATTGACATTTTTCATTTATTAAAAAAACTGTTTAATCACAGATTAATTTTAAATTAATTTCTAACTAACTATTATGAAATAACCGTGGAGAATAAAGCAATAGCCGTGCAAAGTATATAACAAAGTGTTCTAAGATTATTAAATTTTCATCTTACTGCTGAGTATAGCGGTCAACAGAAGACTGAAAGTCCCTCCTGTGTACTGCTCGTAGCAAAACGTGGATAGGATCATATTCTTGTTCCCAGATTTCAGGTTTAGGAACATACATTCCTTGCAACATTGTTCCACCAGCTTCAAAATTTGGGGCACGATAATCAGCTACCTGCAAATCAATCAATTACTTCTTCTTTTATCATGTTAGTATACATGAATGATCATGTTAGTATACATGAATGCGTTTCTACAAGCTTTTAGATAAATAAATATCCCTGAACACAGAAGATAAACAAAAACAGAGAACCTGGATATAAATGGTTTGAAAAATTATATTAAAAACTAACTGATGACAATTCAAAGGAAGCTTCAACTGACATTTCCAGCACGGTATTTTTACGCTTCTATAACGTGGTTGATGGAATACTCAAAACCGATAATCTATAGATAATATTTATGTTTCTTAAAACGTTTCCTTGTTCAAACAATTATAATAATTATAAATTAATACATGAAAAATAAATGTTGCCCAATAAAGGCTCTAGTAAGAGGGCAGAAAGCTTGTTATTAAAAATGCAGAGAACTGTCTGTATATTTTTTACATATATATAAAGTTCCTTTAATGAAAGCTTTATACTTAAGACCAAACTTAAACTATTTACAATTGTTTTACAGAAATAGGAACACACAGACCAAACAGTTCATACATATCACCATTCAATTACATAAACAGCCTAGAAAACACATAAACCACTCACCAAGTAACTGAAAGAAATTTCTTTTTCAGCTTTGGTCACTGGTCAGGTAGATTATTTGGCGCCTGACCAGCAAAAGTGGGTTTTCTCGGGGTACTCCCGTTTCCCCCCACAGCAAAATTCTGAGAATTGGACCACGGTCCTCCTCCTAGCCCTGAAAAGGACCGACAGACGGCCTCCTCCCCACCCAAAATTTTTAGCCCTAGTGCTTTATCCCACCCGATGCATTCTCGAAGGCGCCGCTGCCCGATTTTCTAAGCTTAATGTATTCTCCAGACCCGGTAAAACCAAACCCAGGACAAACTATAATACTCACGATTATGTACATCCCTCACCAAGCAGCGGGGTTGAAGAGAAGCGAAAAAAAAGCTTCTGAACACCCCTGGTTGTCCTCAAACACATTGAGGTTGAAAGGACGTAACCAAAATTACCACCCAGAGTATAAGTAATTCACAATTGTGTCATTAAACTCTGTATTTAATTAATGTTATACATATTGTACATAATTTCTAGGGAAAGGTACTGACTGCTTGAACAATTCTGTTAGAAGAGATGTCTTTTGTTCTGTAATAAGAAATGATTGTAAGATTTTGTTTGTGCACATCATAATCCAAGATAAAATAAAGTGTTTGATATTTATGAATAATAACTAAATCTGATTCAATTAATTTATTTGTTGAAATATACACAGGATCATATAGGCATAACGGAAAACAAAACTACCTATATATTTTTCAATGCTTTATAAAGAAGTCTGCCATGAACTCAACACATTCTAAAGTACGTTTTGCTTGAGAAACGATTTTAAAAACAACAAAAGCAAATTACATTTTCACCATTGCATTTCATAATAACTATTAATTTGACCTGAAAAATGCTTTGAAACATTTATTAAGTAACTTGAGTATTTTTCTTACTTTTGCAAGAATACTTTCAAAATCTTTGTTTTGTGAAGCAGTGCCACATTTTTCTGGAAGTAAATCCATCAGCTGAGAATGTGTTCTGTCATTCATAGTTAACAATGATACCATTTCTTGTCTAGTAACTTCTTCTTCACTCATCCCTAATTAAGAAAAGGAATCATTAGTATATCAAAAACAGAAAGGAAGGTTTACCAAGATAAATCTCATTACATTTCCAAAATCACACAATAAATGAATGATTTAACAAAACACGTTATATGTTTGTTAGTCGGACAGATTTAAATCTGTAGAGAAACAGCACACAAATCTGTAATTATGACTATCACACCTACTACATATAAAAATGTACGCAATAAGCTCTTTTTAACCTAAAATATTTTCAAACTCCACAAAATAATCTTAATACAAACAAAGACATTCCAATTCCATGAAATGAAACCGTATTACTTTAATATTATAATTAATAAAAACAACAGATGTAAGTCATAAAAGAGAACAATAGCACAGGCTTGCAAATTTAAACTTCATAAAAGTTGTTATGGTTTTTAATAAGACATTTTCCATAATTTCGAAAATAATATTAATTTTTTTCTATCACATAAGGATGTTTTTACAAATCGGGAAGAAAAAACTTCCTTAAATCAAATTATTATTTCGTTTA